TGTGTGTGTGTGTGTGTGTGTGTGTGTGTGTGTGTGTGTGTGTGTGTGTGTGTAGGATACAGGGCAACCAGTTCCTACAACGTGTAGAGTTGGAAAGCTTGGTAGAGTTACCTAGATAAAAAACAGTGAGTGATCAGATCAGTAAGATGACATGGGCAATGAGACAAGTCGCTTTAAAAAATAGAGTAGGTATGTTTAGGTGATGCTAAATGGTTTATTCAGCTTAAGAAAATGACGTTTTAATTCCTTTTTCATTTTCATCATTTTGTTGGAGTGGAATATATGGGCAAGGTCTTGTTAATGTAGTCCAGGCTGGCCTTGAAGTAACGATCTTCCTCTCTGAAACGTCATAGAAGTACGCCTCGATGCTCAGCTAACAAATTTCTTGATTCTCATTTGAACATCTAGAGATGCACATAGCAAAACGCCCTCCTAGGGGTTGCCAGTTTCAGTTTATTAGTGCACAGTACAATGTTGAAGGTTAACAATTATGCACTGACATTTTAAAAACATAATAAATATGTTTTTACAATCTCCTCCATAAAGGAAAGCTAAATAATTGATTCTACAGAGAACTTTAGCATGATTTAAATATTATATATACAAGCATGTATGAAAATGTTACATTACTTCATTAATGTTTGTTGCTACGTACCATTTAATAAGAATCTAACTTTAAAGACACACTAAACACTTGTTAATAGTCACTTATTTGTTGATTAAAGTGACCAGTTCCTGAGTAAAAGAATGAAGAATGCATAGCACGGTTGTCTTTTGTAGAGCTTGAAATAATTGACCTATAAGAATTTTATCTTCCTCAACCCACACAACTACATAGCCTATTCCAGGAAGCTAGCACTACTGAAGACTTGTGATCCCAGAACTCAGCAGTCTAGGCAGGACAATGAGTTTAAGATCAGTCTGGATTAATTGGTGAGAACCTGTCTCAAAACAAGACCAGCAGCAACAGCAAAAAAATGGTATGAAAACTGCCATTTTTGTTTGTTTTCAGTTGTGTTGGTTACATATAAGTATTAAAAATATATTACAATAAACTATACCTGGAAAATTCATGGGCAGTTCAAAAGGCTTCAGAGACTCAGAACCTTTGATATTACTCTCACAAATTTCGGCCATGATCTTCTTAATTTTAAGACCTGTGATTTTAATCACTTCTCCTGTTGACAAACAGCATTCATTGCCAAACATTTCATAAATAGACCCTGAAAAGAGAAAACAATCATTTTTTTAAAGGTTAAAGAGTGAAGAACAAAATAGATATCAAAAATTTCATATAAAATGTTTTCACTCAATTCTTCCCTTAACTACCTACTAAACAGGAATTAAACCTGACTTATCCCAAAATGTACACCATGTACCAGGAAACATAGTGGATTTTTATATTATCCACTAGGCAAAATATAAACAAAAATATTTTTTATTTTAAATTAAATTTACAGTTTCCCTATCACTTTTAGCTCATTTATCCAAGGTCAAACCACAGTCACATCTCCCACTGCTAGGATTTATGGTTCATGTTTGCCAGGTCATAGAATTAGCCCCCTGTGAGTCAACAGCAATTTTAGTAAGGACTGCAAACAAGGCTATGATGAAATTCAAGACCCAAAGACAGAGAAGTCTGTATACCAGGACTTCATAATTAACAGCTCCCTATTTAGTTTTCAGAGTTGATTCTCTTCATCATCATGAATTTAAGTCTTCTTGCCTGTTTTCATCTGTTGGCTTTTGACAAGCTGGAGACAACACCCAATCCCTTTATGGCAATAGGTGGCAGACCAACCCAGCAAAATAGAGAAGCTTCACTTTGGTTTAGAGTTTCAACCTCCTTCTTGATACACCTTTCATGATAGATACTATTAATTTTTTTTTCATTTATTTTCTTTCTGTGTCTCCCGATATAAAGAGTAGACAAAGAAACACTCAAACTATGAGCACCAGGAAAAATAAGACACCATAGTCCTGAACAGTCAGCCCTAGTCAGAAGAGAAAAATTCAAGGCACCTTTTCTGGAATACAATGGCATCACAAATGAACAGCAACTTATAACTGGTGTAAGGAACATTACACAACTGCAAGGAATCAAATATGATATTAATTCGTCCCTCTCTTCACAATGTCTCAAGGCTTCTTGACCGCATTAAATGTAAGCCTATTAGGACCAAATGCTAGCTTTGTCTGCTTTCTTAGTTTTTCTCACTTATAAAATAAATTATCTATTTCCCTTTTTTTCTTTAGTGCCCTCACTGACTCTGGGCTGACATATGGCAAGATACTATAGCATTCATTGTTTTCATTAACATTTCTAAAGATGTAATTTCACCCCCTCTGCTTATATCAGTGTCTCAAGAGGTAACATTTCCATGACACAATCAAAGAAATCAGAAGGGACTTGGCGTACATAGGGATAATTGACATAGAGGCACATCCACCCTTAAGCAGCTGTTGGTATAATGTTCTTGTAGAATGTATACACTTTACCCTTGTTCACTCAAATGCTGATTTCTCTACTCCACTATCTGTTTTCAATCTGGATATTGCATTGCGATGTTTATTCTAAGCATCACCTGTCTCAAATTTGTGTAAACATGCCACCATTTGTTCTCTGTATTGTCAATAAAACAACCAGCCAATGCTGAGCAACGGAGATAATAAGGTGGGATATCCTGGTCCGGAGGGGAGGAGAAAGGAAGCGAGTGGGAGGGTCAGAGAGGAGAGATTGGCAGGAGAGGACCTGGAACCATGAGGAGAGATGAACTGAACCTAAGATATGACTAACTGCAAGTATAATGTTGGAAATCTGAATGGGGGAAACTATGTGGGCTTGGAGGTTTAGGATGGAGTAATTATTGCCCAGCATTGTGCTCTAGGTTAATTAAGTAAATTCTGGTCTCTGTGTGGTGATTTGAGTATACAGCTGGTTTAGGGATAACCACTATTTAACTAAAAGTTAAATCAATAATAAATATTAATATTCAACAACAAGCAACCTATGAAAATAGATGTTCATCAGACAGACAGACTGAGAGAAACAGAAAAAGAGAGACACATGCACACACACAGAAAGAGACAGAGGCAGAAACAGAGAGATAATAGTGAATAATGACTTTATAATAACTAATAACTAATAAATCTTTCATTTAAACAATAAATCTTCAAGAAAAGATCTGTCTGACCTCCAAATTCAGGCTTTCATTCTACCACTGTAGCAACCTAACTGAAGGCACCTCTGCCCTGAATGCTGAGATCAAACTACCATAATTTATTCTCACTGGCAGGATTTGAGCCATATGTCCATTTCCAGAGTACGTGCTGAAGCCCAGGGTGATCAAAAACTGGCTAGATGGGCCTAACACAAAGCTCATCGATTTTGGATGAGGTGGGACAATATGAAAATCAGGAATTAAGAGAAGAAAAAGAGTGCCGGAGAGGTGGCTCAGTGAGTAAAGGCATAGGCTGCCAAGTCTGACGACCTGAGTTCTACCCCAGGAACCCACACAGTGGAGAGAGAGAACCAACTTTCACACTTGTCCTCTGACCTCCACACATGTTATGGACACACACGTGAATAAGTGCAATTTTTAAAAAGAAAATTGAAGAGTTGCAGAGTGTGAAGGAACCGTTGCAAAACACAGCAGGCAAAGGATTGCTGCTCCAACATACACAAAACTCTGGAAAACACAGCAGCAAGAAAGAACAGGCAACAAGGCACAGTGCCTTTACCTGTTGTCCTAGCAGCCCGGTGAGGGAGGCTGGAGGAACAGGAGGGCAAAGCCAACCTCAGCTACACAGCAAATCCAAAGTCAGCCCGGGCTACATGAGACCAGAATCAAGAGACAAAACAACAATTAAAACTTACATAACTCAACTTACAAATGAACAAAAGGTCTCAACCTTTACTAAAGAGGACATACAGATGTCAAACAAATGCATCGTTATACTTTTTCTGCCTATGAGAAAATTCCTGCTCAAACAAGGGAAGGAAGGTCTATGGTTACAAAGGTTTTCTTCCGTCTTGGTAGGGCAAAGTGGCCCGTACCACAGAAGCCGGGATTGGAGAACCTATGATGCTCCATGCAGATGCACAGCTCATAGTGATTGTGCCACAGCTCATAGTGGCTGTGCCACGGCTCATAGTGACTGTGCCGAAGCTCATAGTGGCACTGCCTCACACACTGAGGGTGGATCTTTACTCTTCAGTGACTCCTTTCTGGAGACAAAGGTGTGTTTGATGAATTTCCTAGGTGTGTCTGAGTCCAATCAGATTGACAGTTAAGATTGCAAATCCCCGCGGCAGGGGACACAGCTCAGTGAACAGGCACACTCTGCTCACTAGAGTTCGGATCCCCGGCTCCCACATGCAGCCTAAATGCAGCAGTGAGCACCTGAAACTTCACATGGCTGGGAAGGGAGAGGCAGGAGGATTCCACAGCCTTTCTGGCCAGGCAGTCTAGCAGAAATGTCAGGCTCGAGATTCAGTAAGAAACCGGCTTAAAAAAAAAAAAAAAAAAAAAGTGGAAAGCCAGGTGTGACGGTCCAGCATTCTGGTAGCAGAGGCTGGAGGGCAATTGAGGAAGACACAGGATGTCAAGCTCTGGCCTCCACGTGTGTGCTGAGGCATGAACGCACACACACTGTTAAACATATTAACTACATAGATGTATGCTCAATATTGTATGTCATCAGCAAATTGCAAATTAAAGCAATAAAACCCTCCTGCCACCCAGGAGAATGTCATGCCAAAGGCATAATAACTAATAATGGTTACAAACAAAATGGCAGTCACATGTTAAAGAGAAATTTTTGGTGTTAGCATTTGCATGATGCTCTTATCCTAATATTAACAAAAGAGCCACAGGACAGGGGAGATGCTAAGAGCCCAGGCGGAGGGGAGGAGTGGAAATGGAAGCTCAGTGTGTGAACACAACCATCCTGGGCAGAGAATGTCAGTCCGGACGATTAGCATGTCTGGTCTTCAAGCTTTTAGGATCTGAGCCATAGCTTATTCTCCTAACCACATATATTCTTGTACCTTCATTAACCTGAACACATGGAGTTACAAGTCTCAAGTCCTTTGTGGATTAACTGAGGTATAAAGTAAATAATTAAAAAAAAAAACCTGTGACAACATTTTTTTGCAAGTGAATTCAGAACAGTTATTTGCTATGATAAATGCATACTAACATTGCATACCATTACCATTATGTCATCCTGTATTTACCTTTTTATGACTTTAGTTTTTATTATTCCCAATTCAAGTTTAAGGTTCACTGGGAAAAACTACATTACATTATGTATTTGTGTGATTACAACATATCCATACCCCCGTCCACTCAGTCAGGAAACCTAATATGTTAGGCCTCATGACTGTCAGTAGGTACCAGGAATAAAATATATAGTTTCCCCCCCACCCCAAGAGCCTGGGCCTGCAAAGAGTAGACAGGTAGGCAGAACACTGAAAAAGACCAGGAAGATGTGATAATGTAAGAAATGCAGAGTGTTGTGAAGTCTCAGAGGCAACTCATTTCTATGGGGAAAAGATAAGAAGAAGGAATCCTGGGAGAGACAATAGCTGATGTTGATGCAGGATTTAGAAGAAAGGTCACGTGATGCAAAGATGGGCAGAGGAAGCAGCATTAGAAAGGTCCTAAGATGTGAAAGAAGCCTGACACATTCTAGAAACTTTAAGTAGTTTCTTATGTTTAAACTATAAAGTAAGAGAGGGGAAGTGTTTTGGTTTTCTTTTTCAGAAGGAATAGATGGAAGGAGTCAAAATTATACAACTTTTATACAAATTTATAAAAGTTGTATAATTTTTATAATTTAGACAAAATTTACACTGAACAAAAACAATATTATGAAGTAACTTTAAAGTCAGGGAATCTACATTTCTAGCTATCAGGTTCTGGGAACAAATACCAATTCAATATGAGGTCATTTGTACTCTAGACATTAACTACCCAAACTCTGGTCTACCGTGTCACCCGGGAGCTTGTTAGAACCTCGGTCAGACTTGCTGAATCAGAACCCACATTTTTAACAAGATCCCCAGATGATTAATAAGTACATTAAGATTTGTAAAGCATTGGTCTGGGCTGCAAATACAGACCAAAATGGCCTCTACTTTGATACTGTTGTAAAAAAAATTAGAGAGCATGCTACCCTTCTTGGCTAACACTGAGGTGGGAAACAGGAAAAGGATTTG